TTTGTATCCCCTGGGGAGCTTTAAAAACTCCATGTGCACAGGCCACGCCCCGCACCAGTTAAACCAGCGTCTCTGCAGTGGGCCCCAGGCATCAGTTTTTTTAAGGATCATCAGGTGATTGCACCATGTGTCCAAGGTTTAGAACAGCACTTTGGCCAACGTGGAGGGAGGTGTGGCTTCCACCTTGTGCAGAGGATTGACAAGAAGGGCAGGGCCGCTTGGTACAAAGAGCAGGAATCAGATGCTTTCAGAAAGGCAGAGCAGGGCCAAATACCCAGTTCTAAGCTGGGTGACCTCAATATCTGTTACAGCTGAAGATTCCACAGATGCCACAGATGAGCTGTTTTTACTCACAACACTTCTGACACCAAAAATGTGGTATCTTTTCCAACTCTCTGACAACAGCTGGGTGTCCTACATTTCAGTTCAATTCTAACACTATCCATCTAGAGTTGGTGTCAGATCCCACACGTTGAGGGCTCAGTCCCGCAAGACTACTCCTACTTCAGATGCCAGTCACAAGTCCCAGGTTGTCACCAGGACTTCTGACCAAACAGCTATAAATTCAGAGGATCCCTATAAATCCTCAGATTCAATAATTGGCTAGAATGACACAGAACTCATGAGAGTGCTTTGCTTATTATCACCAGTTGATCAGAACAGATGCACCTCAGGAGCAGCCTCATGGAAGGATGCACAGAACAAGGTATGGGAGGAGGAGTGCAGAGCTTCCATGTCCTCTCCAGGCCACCCTCCCAGAACCTTGATGCGTTCAGCAACCTGAAAGCTCTCGGAACCCCATCATTTAGGGTTTTTATGGAGGTTTCATGACCTAGGCATGATTGGTTCAATCACTGGCCACTGGTGATTAGTTCAGTCTTCAGCCCCCTCCCCTCCTTGAGGTCTGGCAGCAGGGCTGAGGGTTCCACCCCTCTAATCATGCCTTGGTCTTTCTCAGCCACCAGTCATCTCAGTAGCAACAAAAGACACTCTTTTCACTCCAGAGATTTCAAAGGTTTTAGGAGCTGTGTGCCAAGAACTGGGGACAAAGACCAAATATGTATTTTTTTGTTATATCACACCTTGCCATCCTTGGGGCTCCTGGGCAGCCATATATGGATATATGCTTGGTAAATATGCATTTGACCATGGAGAGCATCACTCTCCATTGCTGAAGCCAATAACTGTAGGTCATCCTGGCCTTCTTCCCCGTTTAAGACTTGATCATTCTATTTCCTTAGTGTCTTTCACATCCATTCATCTTGGTCTGTCCTTATTGCCTTGGCCCTGGTTCATTCTCACCTGGCTTGTGGTAGAGTCTTCCTAATTGGTCTCATTTCCTCCGGGTTTTCCCCTCTGTCTGTCTGCATCTAGGGCCTCCCAAACAGATCTATCTAAATATGATCGTGTCTCTCCTCTGTGAAAAACCCTCCATCAGTTCTCTGTTGCTTTCAGGGTATAGTTTATACCAGAAGTCACAAATTCACATGCCAGGAGGGTCCCAAGAAGATGATGTGCAGGCATGGACCTGGGCTGAGCACAGACTCTTAGAAAGCAGAGAGCTCCTGGGTCATTTAGAGGGGCAGCTGTCACCTAGCTCTCAGATCTAGCTGCTTGTTGCCTTGTGATGTCGTCAGATCTTTTGGTTTTTCAGGAGAATCGGGACATCTGGGGTTTTGTAAATGTTGGCAACTATTTAATCTTTTTAATTAATAGTATAGTGCGCTAAATGATACAATTAGAATGTGTGCATTTTATAGCATGACAATTATACTTCAGTAAAACTGATCTTTTAAAAATCGCATTGTACAAGCATAACAAAGTTAACCTCTCCTCCCCACCCCAAATAAAAATAAAGTACATGCTAAAAATACACTTCAGCCCTCAGATCCTCATTTTGCCAGTTTCAGTCTAAATTTTCGCCAGTTAGGCGAAGCCCTGAGTGGCTGTGCTTTTGCGTACATCCCCAGCCTTTCTCCCTCCAACAAGTTAGTTGTAGAACTTGATGTTCCCAGAATGCCCTGCTGTAGGCCACTTCTAAGTCTTTGTACACGTTACATCGATTTGGGGTTCTCTCGTCTCATTCTTCATCTGCTAAATTACACTATGTCTTTCAAGATTTGGTTCAGATACCGTTTTCAGAAAGCCCTCCCTGGTTTCTCCCAGACCTCTTCTAGGCCACTTCCTCTGGGTTTGCAAGGAATGTGCCGTGCTCCTTACAACTGCCTACATTTCCCTCTAGCTGTCTCATTCACCTGGAAGCCCTTGGCAGGGATAGTGTCCCATTTGCCACTGATTTTCTAGGGACAGGCATAATGTCTGATTCACTATAAGCCTTCCACAAATTACTTATTTTGAATGAATGAATATATCTTAATACACAAAATGCCCAAAGAATTAAGTTACGTACTTACCCAGCTCTTTCTAACAGATATATTTTTGCATTATAATGATTCATGTGCCTGAATGGTGTACTCCGTAAGGGCAGAACATTTCATTATTATCATCCTAATTTCTAGCCCAGTACCCTGAAGAGAGATGGAACTCAATAGATACTGTGGAACATCAGTTAATAAGTAAGAACTAATGTACATTTCAGATAATATCAGCCTCTAATTGTGATGGAAAGATATACCGTAATTTAAAATAAATTGATATTTTGGTGATATGCTTATGAAATACCCTCACTAAATGATTGAGGAAGAGGTAGCATTGCCCCTTCTACCACATTAAGATGCACTGGGCTACAAATGGACTCTCATCTTTTGCATTTATATGTTGCTATCCATACTTCTAAGTACTAGCACTTCTGTATCAAATAGAGCTTAGAAATATGTGATTAAGGATGAATGATCAGCCATGTGATCTTCTTGACAGATGTTTACTACAGAAGAAAGAAAATGTTTGCAGACTCACAGAGTCACGGTGCATGGGGTCCCAGGGCCAGAGCCCTTTACTGTTTTCACTATTAATGGAGGCACCAAGGCAAAGCAGCTTCTGCAGCAAGTAAGTCCCCTGAGCCATGGTTGAGAGAATGCAAAATCTAAGATGTATGGATGTACGTGTGTGTATAAATGCCTGTGTGTGTAAACACATACAGATGCACATAAATGCGCAAAAGTCCATGTTGATGATATGCCTTTTGATTATTTGGAAATGTGTTGTTCAACGTCGAGATCCTCTCCAAGAATCATCTGATGAATCTTGGTACCACTAGACAAACTACCTTAACCTGTAGAGAAGATTTTTTAATTATTCTTAAGCTATATAAAATACTAGGCTCTAGAATGGTAAAGACCAGAATGAGTGGCCTTCCAACCATATATACGCTTTCGCCCTAAGCCTGGACATGGCCTAGTCTTCCTTCTTCACGCAGAGATTAGTAATCAGTGAGAATTTGCACATTAGGTGAATGGAATCTTCTTGTCATCCGAGGAGTTGAATCGAATTCTTAGAGCTTCAGGATGGGCCACATGGGCCAAGAAGACATTTCCTGCCCCTCCGGCCTAAGGCCTTCCTTTGCATGTGGAGCAGCCGCCTTGCTCCCCTCCCCTGGCACCTGACCTTGGCATTTGAGGTCCTCTCCTTTTGGTGGTAGCAAGAGGCATGGAGACCCTGAAGCCTGTTAACCCAAGCCCTGTAGCAGAACTGGCCTAAGCCTCCTTACGCTGTGCCACCTCTGCCCTAGATCCCCCTCCAAAGGATCTTTGGGGTCCCCATCCATGGGGGGACTTCTAAGAGTGAGAGCCAGGGACACAGAGCAGCATCTAAAGAGGGAGGGGCATGTCCTCCAAAGGGCGAGACAGGACCCATGCATAATTCCTTTTTTTTTTCCACACTAGAAGCTCTACCCTTGCTTGGTACGGTGGCCTAAAATCCTTGCAGATGATTTTATCCTTAACCCATTTCAGAATTCCTTCTCGGTGCGGCCGGGCGCAGCAGCACTTGTTACTAAAGACTAGCAGGGAAAGGCATAAAGAATAGGCAGAGGCCGGGCGGGGTGGCTCACGCCTGTAATCCCAGCACTTTGGGAGGCTGAGGCAGGCGGATCACGAGGTCAAGAGATGGAGACCATCCTGGCCAACATGGTGAAACCCCATCTCTACTAAAAATACAAATATTAGGTGTGGTGGTGCACATCTGTCGTCCCAGCTACTTGGGAAGCTGAGGCAGGAGAATCATTTGAACCTGGGAGGCAGAGGTTGTAGTGAGCCAAGATCGTACCACGGCATTCCAGCCTGGGTGACAGAGCGAGACTCTGCTTCAAAAACATAAAAAAGAATTCCTGGCCGGGCGCAGTGGCTCAAGCCTGTAATCCCAGCACTTTGGGAGGCCGAGGCGGGTGGATCACGAGGTCAGGAGATCGAGACCATCCTGGCTAACATGGTGAAACCCCGTCTCTACTAAAAATACAAAAAAAACTAGCCGGGCGTGGTGGCGGGCGCCTGTAGTCCCAGCTACTCGGAGGCTGAGGCAGGAGAATGGCGTGAACCTGGGAGGCGGAGCTTGCAGTGAGCCGAGATCGCGCCACTGCACTCCAGCCTGGGTGACACAGCGCGAGACTCCGTCTCAAAAAAGAAAGAAAGAAAGAAAAAAAAAAATTCCTTCTCCTGAATAGGGGTAGACTAAAGGAAGCAATGACCAAGGGAATGGCCCTTGAGCTCCCTCTGAAGTTAGGGTGTATGATGAAATGTGGCTGGGATTGTAACATTTGGAGGAATTAAAAACCAACTGAACAATTACAAACAGTAAGTGTTAATAAATGGCTCTGTCCTTTAAGGGCACATCTCTAGACAGGCTAACGTTCTGTCCAACATTTTATAACTGACTTAAATAGAGAAAACAGCTCAGATGTCACATTTCATAGATTATCAAACAGAAGCTATTGCCAACGGTTTTGGTTTTGTTTTAATACATCAGTCCATGTACTTCAGTGTCCACTATCACAAAGCACTGCTGAAGTTTTGTAAAGTAAAAGAAAACTTTCCAAGAGCCACCCATAGCAGTCCATTGCTTTATTGTCACCCATGCAAATCAGCACACAGATGTAAAGCAGGACTGAGCAGGGGGTGATGCTGGCCCTCTTGTGGAGGTGGTCCAGAAGCTTTACATCCTGAATTATCCCTGCAGTATTTGCCTTGGCCCCCTTTTGAGTCAACAGCATTGCATCCATTATAGACCAAGGGCTGGGGCAGAGAGATTTGAGTCTTCCTGAGAACCTTCACTTCCACCGCCCTCAGTCCATCACATTCTGCTTTTCCTCCTGGCGAGATGTGTTCACTCTGGGCTTTGCCTTATTGGCAGGGGCCTGAGGAGAAGGGTGTTTGCTTAATCCAGGCCAGATGGTGGCAGCTTTCTCTCATTACCAAGCTACTTCTCACAGGAAGGCAACCAAGGGAGTTTCTTTGCTGCGACTGACCTTTACTCCCTTCAAGTTCAGCCTTTTGTAGTAACCTGTACAATATGAGTGAGAAAGAATACATTGGTAAAACTATAATGCCTGTAATCCCAGCACTTTGGGAGACTGAGGCAGGCAGATCACTTGAGGTCAGGAATTTGAGACCAGCCTGGCCAACATGGTGAAACCCCGTCTCCACTAAAACTACAAAAATTAGCCAGGCATGATGGTGCACGCCTGTAATCCCAGCTACTCAGGAGGCTAAGGCACGAGAATCACTTGAGCCTGGAGGCAGAGGTTGCAGTGAGCCAAGATTGCGCCACTGTACTCCAGCCTGGGCAACAGAGGGAGACTCTGTCTCCAAAAAAAAAAAAAGAAAGTAACTATAATGATGGCTCATCTATTGAGTTCTCATAACATACCCATGTTATGATTTATGCTTCAACCATAAAACAAAATTAAGATTGCTACTACTACTATTTCCATTGTGTAGACTGGAAAACGGCCTCCAAAGGATTAAGTATTTTACCCAATAATTCATAGCTAACAAGTATTAAAGGACGACCTCAGACTCAGGTCTGTCTGGTTCCAGAGCTTTGTCTCAGCTGTCCTGTTTGACCGCATATAGCCAACAAAGAAAACAAGCGCTTTAAGCACACTGTCAGTTTATTTAAAGAAGAATTCCCAGGAACTTAGACCACATGAGAACCTCGCCCTACAAACCTTCCATGAGAAGATGACCGAGTATTTCCAATGTGAGAAAAAGAGATTGTCTTAGTAAATACTAAACTAGGTTATTTGCCCTCGGTCCTGTGTTGCAAGATTACAAAGGGCTAAGTTCATGGAATGAGAAACCTAAAATTTTTAATTCACTAGGAGCTCTCATTCCAGCAGTGGGAAAAATAGTTATGCTGTCTGGGGATTATGAATAAGTTGTGCCGTTGCCCGGAGTGAACATAAACAATCCATTCTGAACATAAGAGAATTCTTAGATCTTCCAAAAAGAATTATGCAATACTCTGGAGTAAATTTCACTTATAAATTGCATAGCAAACCTATCTGAACACCATGAAAGTCGATTTGTTTTGAATTTAAGTTTTTTCCTCACTCCTCAGTTTGCCTTCACTTTTTCTTTAGATTCTGACAACTGAACAAGACATCAAACCTGTTACCACAGACTATTTTTTGATGGAAGAAAAATATTTTATATCTAAAGAAAAGAATGAATGCAGGAAACAACCATTCCAGAGAGCCATTGGTCCAGAAGAGGAGATCGTGCAAATTTTAAGCAGCTGGTTTCCAGAAGAGGGATATGTGGGCAGGATTCTCTTAAAAACCCAGCAGGAAGTAAGTGTGTCTGGTGCAGCCTACACAGTAACAACTCATTATGTGATTAGCCAGTTACCACTCACCGCCTCCGTGACCTTCAGAATTTCTTCTAATTGCAACTTGGTTTACATTCTTAAGTAAATGCGGATGAACAGTTTTCTTCTTCTGCACATATTCAGAATATTATCTCTAAGGTACAGAAATTCAATCTAAGAAACATCCCTTAGGCCGGGCAGAGTGGCTCACGCCTGTAATCCCAGCACTTTGGGAGGCCGAGGTGGGCGGATCACTAGAGGTCAGGAGTTCGAGACCAGCCTGGCCAACATGGTGAAACCCCATCTCTACTAAAAATACAAAAATTAGCCAGGCGTGGTGGCAGGCTTCTGTAATCCCAGCTGCTCATGAGGGAGGCTGAGTCAGGAGAATTGCTTGAACCCGAGAGGCAGAGGTTGCAGAGAGCTGAGAGCGTGCCATTGTGCTCCAGCCTGGGTGACAGAATAAGACTCCATCTCAAAAAAAAAAGGTTTCTCATGCAAAGAAACTATTCCATTTTAAAAATAAATAAAAACATCCCTTATAAGATAAAGGAAGCAAAGATTCCTTATGCATGTCATCAGCTATGGATCAGTATTTTATTTCTACGTGTGGAAAGACATTGTTGTAAGCGTCACATTACTGTATAATGCAAAACCTGCAGGTATTTTCTATTTTGGGGTCGATTGATTTCCAGTTGGTGCCTGCTGAAGTTTTAGCTAATAGAAGCTTCCGTGCTTATAAGTAAAACAATAATATTTCTTTGAAAATATTCCAGAACTTCATACAAAGTAAGAATAATCTCTTGGCCTGAGTCAGAATTAGTAACCATTTGTATTACATGTGCTAAGATCCCCATGATCATTCCCAGGAAGGAAAGGATGCACCAATGCCATGCTGACTCCAAACTGATTGGCTCCTATTTGACTTAATTGATGAAGCACTTATTTTTTTTCTGAATTAGCAGAGAAAACGCTACTAACTTAAAAATGACATATAAGGTCATTTCTCTAGCATAGACAATCATGCCTCATGACGTGTTGATAATCAAGCAGTTGGGTCTGTTCAACAATTTGATTACATAAATATTTATTGAGCACCTAATATGTGCCAAGCCCTGTTCTGGGCACATGATCTGCTCCTTTGGGGCATGTGATAGTGCTTGCCTGATAGAAGATCCCTCAGGCCCATGCTTGCCAGGGCACAGTGAAGATAATAGCCAATGTTCACCATTATGTGTTACTTTTCACTTTCTAGTCACAGTGAACGTGATCTGAAGCTCTACAGAGCTCTAGCATCACCTCAAGAGCCCAGAGCCACTGCCTTCTTTCCCTGACCTTGCCTAAGATGATGAAAGGACACTTCATTTAAGCAAAAAATGTAATTGTCTCCCCAGCCTTCTCTCCCTATTAAGACACACTAATTGCTAAGACAGAGACCAGGCAACCCTAATAATAATTGCTTTATGATAAAATATCAGAGGGCTTAGCTATACTTTTGAAGCCATCTTTAATGTCTAAATTTTTTTCCTGTTCTTATATTGTCTTGCCTTATTAATTAGCTACATGTAAAAAGTATCCTCTAAGTGGTGTCAGTGAATCAGTAAAATTTTAAACCTCATATTTGCATACAATTTAGTGTTGAAAGCCCTCAAACAGTATGTTGAATGATATAACAGAAACCATTTTACACTTAAAGAAATAGATTCAGAGAGGTGAAATCATGACAGGGTTAGAAGTAGAAACAATTCAAGTCTATGGCTTCCAGGTCAGTGTTCTTTCCGCCATCCTGTGCTACCCAGGCTGAAATTGTGTCCATCCTTGTGGATCACCCACACTCAGCACCTTGGGAGGAGCAGGAGGCAGTGGGTGGGCTAGAGAGAAGATGGGCTGGCTGCTGAGTGTCACAGGAAGCTTCATTATATGCTCAGAGGAACTGGGAAGGGGAAGGACACCCAAATGCAATTTAAATATGTATGACAAGCTGGGTGCGGTGGCTCACGACTGTAATCCCAGCACTTTGGGAAGCCAAGGCGGGTGGATCACCTGAGGTCAGGAGTTCGAGACCAGCCTGGCCAACGTGGTGAAACCCCATCTCTACTAAAAGTACAAACATTAGCAAGGCGTGGTGGCAAGCACCTGTAGTCCCAGCTAGTCAGGAGGCTGAGGCAGGAGAATCACTTGAACCCAGGAGGCAGAGGTTGCAGTGAGCCAAGATCACACCACTGCATTCCAGCCTGAGTGACAGAGCAAGACTTCATCTTAAAAAAAAAAAAAAAAAAAAAAAGTATATGACAACAGGCAGTAGAGACCTCAGGAATATGCTTCCAAAAGGCTGGTAAAAGAATGCATTTTGAAGAAAAAGGGGCATAAGTCAGAAGGGAAAGCTAACAAGCTTTTTTTCTGATGAGTAAAATATGGCAAGTTCTCCTTTATATGCCTTTGTTAGGAAATTTTTGAAATGACTGAAATATTATATCTCAAAAGATAATAAATTTAGTGTATCTAGGTTTACCTGGTGCATAGTGATACCCAAATAATATCCGCCGATTGAATAAATGAATTCAGTACTTACTGAATGCAAGAGGGTAGGTACTACTAGAGGAGATAGATTTGGGCTATAAGTATTTCCATTTATTTTATCCCATGGAACTAATAAGACATATAAGCGGTTTGCCCACATATGAAAATTCTGCAATTGCTGTGACCTCTAATCTCTCCTGCCTGCCTTTTATAATTTTCTTGTCTCCTGGGCTTTCAGGCTGTCGGGTACCACATCTTCCTGTGGTCAATGTGTCCTCTTCTGTTACTGGGTTTGAAACTGGGTAAACCAGGACTCTGTCACAATGAACAGGCCACCTAACTTCTGTAAAGCACACTGCCCTAATTTGTAAAATCTATATAGAAACTACCCTACTTGACTCAAAGAAATTATCATGAGATTCATGTCAAACATGTAGACAGACAATGTGTGCAACAATGCTTAGTAAAAAGGGATATAAGCGAGAGCTATTGTTATTTCGTTCATAACCTGTGGCTTCCAACTAATGTGGCTAGAAACACCTTAAAATAAGCTCTGAGGGAGGCTCAAAGGTGCTCTCTTAAAAGTAAAGCTTAATGCATCATTGTTGGGACATTTTATGTGGCAACTTTTTGGTTTTCTCTGATTTCTTGCCTCCTGGTTTGGGGGACACAGATTATAAATTATGTCATGTGAATTACCTCTAAATCTTGCCCTCTGACTGGTTAAATATATTATGATCAATGCAATGACATATTATTAAGCAAGTTGTAAAACAGTATACATAGGATACAATCTCATTTAATGCAAAAAGAGACAATAGCTCGTCTCTTCCCTCTTTTCCATTATATAATGGAGTATTCATTCATTGGAAAAAATTCAAATGGATTTTTTCACTCATTGAAAAAAGTTAAAATAGATTATATATCTTTATTTATTTAACAAAAAATCATGTAACTAAAGGGCCATGACTGCAAAGGTAATTAAATGATTGGGGCAAGCTTCAGTCAGGAGCCAGTGCTTTCTGGACCTGGTTACAGTTTTGGCGCCACCTGGTGGCAGTTATCTATTCTGACTTTAATCAATGGGTACAATTCTAGTTGAAACTTCCAGGAGAGTGACAGCAACTCATGGATTCTTCTGGTTAGCTAGCACCATTTCAGTAGCCTGGTCT